TAAATCAATAGATCCATAAATCGATAACCAAATCAATAAATCAATAGATCCATAACCAATAAATCCATTAAATCAATGAATAATAAACCATATCAACAGATCCACAAATCCAATAACCATAACCGATGAAAGATTAAACTAGAACTAATAAATCGATTAATCGATGTCCAAATCAATAAACTGATAAATCAATAGATCCATAAAATCAATAACTGCAGATCAATAAATCCATAACCGATGAATCGACAATCCATATTATCAACGAACTGATAAACAACAACCATAAACTCAATAAACTCCAAAAGATCCATAAATCAATAAATCCATAAATCGATGAATAGATAAATCAATAAATCCGTAAATCAATAAATCAATAGATCCATAAATCGATAAACCCATAAATCAATAGATCGATTAATCGATAAATCCATAAATCAATAAATCAATATATCCATAAATCAATAAATCGATAAATCGATGAATCGATAAATCCGTAAGTCAATAAATCGATGAATAAATAAATCCATAAATCAATAGATCCATAAATCAATAAATCCATAAATCGATGAATCGATAAATCAATAAATCGATGAATCGATAAGTCCGTAAGTCAATGAATCGATGAATGAATAAATCCATAAATCAATAGATCCATAAATCGATAATCCATAAATTAATAAATCAATATATCCATAAATCAATATATCCATAAATCAATAAATCGATGAATCGATAAATCCGTAAGTCAATAAATCGATGAATAAATAAATCCATAAATCAATAAATCAATAGATCCATAAATCAATAAATCCATAGATCAATAAATCCACAAATCGATGAATCGATAAATCAATAAATCCGTAAATCAATAGATCCATAAATCAATAAATCGATGAATCAATAAATCAATGAATCGATGAATCGATAAATCCATAAGTCAATAAATCGATAAATCAATAAATCAACAGATCCTTATATCAATAAATCCATAAATGAATAAATCGATTAATCGATAAATCCATAAATCAATAAATCGATAAATCAATAAATCAATAAATCAATAGATCCATAAATCAATAAATTCATAGATCAATAAATCCATAAATCGATGAATCGATAAATCAATAAATCCGAAAATCAATGGATCCATAAATCAATAAATCGATGAATCAGTAAATCGATGAATCGATAAATCCATAAATTAATAAATCAATAAATCAATAGATCCATAAATCAATAAATCCATAAATGGATGAAAAGATAAATCCATAAATTAATAAATCGATTAATCGATTAATCGATAAATCTATAAATCGATAAATCCATAAATCAATAGATGCATAAATCAATAAATCCATAGATCAATATATTATATTATTATATATTTATTAATCGATAAATCCATAAATCAATAAATCCATAAATCAATAGATCCATAAATCAATAAATAAATAGATCAATAAATCCATAAATCGATGAATCAATAAATCAATGAATCGATGAATCGTTAAATCCATAAATCAATAAATCGATAAATCCATAAATCAATAGATACATAAATCAATAAATCCATAAATCAATATATCCATAAATCAATAAATCGATAAATCGATGAATCGATAAATCCGTAAGTCAACAAATCCATAGATCAATAAATCGATGAATCGATAAATCAATAAATCCGTAAATCAATAGATCCATAAAACAATAAATCGATGAATCGATGAATCAATAAATCAATGAATCGATGAATCGATAAATCCATAAATCAATAAATCGATTAATTGATAAATCCATAAATCAATAGATCCATAAATCAATAAATCCATAAATCGATGAATCGATAAATCAATAAATCGATGAATCGATAAGTCCGTAAGTCAATGAATCGATGAATGAATAAATCCATAAATCAATAGATCCATAAATCGATAATCCATAAATTAATAAATCAAAATATCCATAAATCAATATATCCATAAATCAATAAATCGATAAATCGATAAATCCGTAAGTCAATAAATCGATGAATAAATAAATTGATAAATCAATAAATCAATAGATCCATAAATCAATAAATCCATAGATCAATAAATCCACAAATCGATGAATCGATAAATCAATAAATCCGTAAATCAATAGATCCATAAATCAATAAATCGATGAATCAATAAATCAATGAATCGATGAATCGATAAATCCATAAGTCAATAAATCGATAAATCAATAAATCAACAGATCCATATATCAATAAATCCATAAATGAATAAATCGATTAATCGATAAATCCATAAATCAATAAATCGATAAATCAATAAATAAATAGATCCATAAATCAATAAATTCATAGATCAATAAATCCATAAATCGATGAATCGATAAATCAATAAATCCGAAAATCAATAGATCCATAAATCAATAAATCGATGAATCAATAAATCGATGAATCGATAAATCCATAAATTAATAAATCAATAAATCAATAGATCCATAAATCAATAAATCCATAAATGGATGAAAAGATAAATCCATAAATTAATAAATCGATTAATCGATAAATCTATAAATCTATAAATCTATAAATCAATAAATCGATAAATCCATAAATCAATAGATGCATAAATCAATAAATCCATAGATCAATAAATCCATAAATCGATGAATCGATAAATCAATAAATCCGTAAATAAATAGATCCATAAATCAATAAATCGATGAATCAATAAATCGATGAATCGATGAATCGATAAATCCATAAATCAATAAATCGATAAATCAATAAATCAATAGATCCATAAATCAATAAATCCATAAACCAATGAAATAATAAATCCATAAATCAATAAATCGATTAATCGATAAATCCATAAATCAATAAATCAATAAATCAATAGATCCATAAATCAATAAATCCATAAATCAATGAATGAATAAATCCATAAGTCAATAGATCCATAAATCAATAAATCCATAAATCAATGAATTAATATATCCATAAGTCAATAGATCCATAAATCCATAAATCGATGAAAAGATAAATCCATAAATCAATAAATCGATAAATCAATAAATCAATAGATCCATAAATCAATAAATCCATAGATCAATAAATCCATAAATCGATGAATCGATAAATCAATAAATCCGTAAATCAATAGATCCATAAATCAATAAATCGATGAATCAATAAATCGATGAATTAATAAATCGGTGAATCGATAAATCCATAAATCAATATATCGATAAATCAATAAATCAATAGATCCATAAATCAATAAATCCATAAATCGATGAAAAGATAAATCCATAAATCAATAAATCGATTAATCGATAAATCCATAAATCCATAAATCAATAAATAAATAGATCAATAAATCCATAAATCGATGAATCGATAAATCAATAAATCCGTAAATCAATAGATCCATAAATCAATAAATCGATGAATCAATAAATCAATGAATCGATGAATCGTTAAATCCATAAATCAATAAATCGATAAATCCATAAATCAATAGATACATCAATCAATAAATCCATAAATCAATGAATCGCTGAATTAATAAATCCATAAATCAATAGATCCATAAATCAATAAATACATAAATCGATGAATAGATAAATCCATAAATCAATAAATCGATTAATCGATAAATCCATAAATCGATAAATCCATAAATCAATAAATCGATGAATGAATAAATCCATAAATCAATAGATCCATAAATCCATAAATCGATAAATCAATAAATCCATAAATCGATGAAGCAATAAATTCATAAATCAATGAATCGATGAATGAATAGACCCATAAATCAATAGATCCATAAATCAATAAATCCATAAATCAATGAATCGATAAATCCATAAATCAATAGATCCATAAATCAATAAATCAATGAATCGATGAATGAATAAATCCATAAATCAATAAATCCATAAATCGATAATTCCACAAATCCATAAATCGATGATTCGATAAATCAATAAATCGATTAATCGATAAATCCATAAATCAATAAATCGTTAAATCAACGAATCGATGACTAAATAAATCCATAAATAATACGGTAGATTTCTAGAACTTGCAACAGCCAGCTGTTTGGTATGGAGTCGAACGCTTTCTGATAATCAATATAGCTCATGACTACCGAGTCTATTACAAGCTGTTCCTTAGAGACCATTGCCCTGCTTTTGCAACCTTTTTGCTCTTCATGTAGTATGTTATTGGTGACCAGGTAGGTATACATTTTACTGCTAATGCAGCTTTAAAATATCTTAATAATAAATCGATGGTAGGCAGGTGATGGATCGATATTGGGAAGGATTATCTAGGGTTTCAGTTTTTGGTAGAAGGTGAGTATAATTCCCTGCTTTAGAAAGACGGGCATTTTCTGGGGTCCAATCAGAGTTTCAGTAAATTTTCTCGCTAGGTAGTGGTAAGCAGAGGAAAATTTCTTGAGACAGAAGTTGTAAATTCCGTCACGCTCTGGACTTCTCCAGTTAGGTAATTTTTTGATTGCACTTTCAACGTCGCACAGTTGTGTCTTCCATATTTACGTTCTCATATTTTTCGCGCTCCTGGTTTATCCATGCGTTTGCGCATTTGTTTGATGCTCTCCTCAACGACCAGATATTGTTCCAGTATTGATTTAGTTGGTTTGAGTCTATGGCGTTTAGGTGTTGGAGTTTGTCTTGTATGTACTGCTTGTACTTCTTTGTATGTCCAGAGTATCGATGACAAAATCTTTCTGGGTTTCCCCGCTAAGTTGATATAATCTAGTTGTTATGTTTTCTGATATCATATTTAAAAGGGTTTCACTATTGAGAGCGAAGTTCACTATTGAAAGTGAACTCTCACTAGTGAGAGTTGTTGCATGCGACCTATGTCTCTGAATGAAGAATAAAAAAATCTACATGAAAAGAAACATGGAAGGAAATTCATTGACTATTCGAACTGTGCGCGGCCGAAGTTTTTAATATATGAATATCAAATAGTATAGTCTTTATAGTCTATTTATTTACTAGTTTTACATCACAACACAATCAAACACATTTTTATTAATCTGAATTTTTACAATCGTTAAAAACTGCATCGTTTGAATTCTTACATGTAGATTTGAGAGAATTTGATTTTTAGTCCAAACATGCCAATCTGGCTTTGGTAATGCAATTCTGTAATTCTTGCTGAACTAGAATGGCTTGCCGTTCGGGTAAGTGGTGTAATTCCGCAGCCACATACTTTCCAAAAAAATCAAATGGATTTTCACCTGGCCTTTCCTCTTGCGCGACTGATGATGACCGTACTGATGACGGTCTTTTATGATTTCTGACGGGCGGGCAAGACGGTTCAATAGTATCAGGTGAAATGTCGTCTTCTTCTTTGATATCACATGGCGGGACTTCGAAGTGGATCTCATCCTCATCGATTTCACCATCTTCTGTTTCACTATTTTCCTTGGGAAAGGGAACTGACTGCGTCTGGAAATATGAACAGAAAAGATAATTTAACAATTAAATAAAATTAAAATTTTACGTTAATAAACCGCTAAAACAATTTACACATAAAATAAGTTACTATAAGGTGTAGTTTATTTCTAAAAGCTTGAGAGCACAAGACCTTCATTACAAATGCAAAAGGCGTTTTGTTTGTTGTGTTGTAAAAAAGATAGATAACTTAAAAGTCACACCAAACAACATGAACCACCTATTATTTTCTATGATCAGCTGTTATCATAATTTTGCAGTAAACATGTCTACTTACATGTGTGGAAGTAAATCGCATAGGGATCTTATTAAGTCGGAGTGAGAGAAATGACGACGGTGTGCTGTTGCGGCGTTGCCGGTACGCCTTTCCCTATCAGGTAAAGTCACGATCGCAAACCTCTTATTTTTAAACGACTTTTTTTCGAAAAAATAACTAGATAAAACGTCAGTAATCGCGAAAATTTAAATACTCAACTTTTTAACACATAATACGCCATACTTAAAAACCACTTTAGATATTGAAACTTTTTTTTATTGTGAAGATCGGATCTTTTACAATATGTTTAAATAAGAAAAATTAGATAAGGTTGTTTTTTTCCATTCAAAAATTTTAAACAACCCATCCATTTACTTTTTGTGCATAGCAATTTTCAGCAATCGTGTAACTTTTTTATTTATAAAGATTTTCACATACTGTCTGCGAAGAAAATATGGCATAAATGTTAAGAAAGTTTTTGAATAAACTCTATTCATATTGAATTCAGAGTTCTAATAGCGCGACCACTGTCAAAATCAAACCCTTTCGTGCGAAAATAATGATTTTTTTTAACATTGTAGTAACAAACTTAACAAGAACACAAACATATCACGATGAACTTGTATAATATAAAATAAAATAACAGCTGATAACAGTACACCTACAAAAGGTCTAAATAGGTACTTACCGGAGTATTCGATATTGCAGACCATCCTTTATCAACAATTAATGAAACTTCGGGATGTTTTACTTCCATATGTCTTTTTAAATTTGTTGTAGTTGTCTTGTATGACAACTTAGATCCACATAAATTACATTTTGCGTAACTCTCATCTAAGGGAGTAAAAAAATTCCATAAAAAACTTATTTTCGATCTTTTTTTATTAATTGGTTGCATATTAAAATAATATGTTTCTATTTAATATTCAATTTGTCTATATTTTGTATAAGTACAACAACGAATAGTCAGTAAAGTTCTATACCGTGAAAAATTAACCGATAAATATATCAAAATGCGATTAACAATTCTCCACTGCGACGAGTCTATGAATATGTGCATGTGCAGACGACACGAAAACGTATAGAACGACGCCACGATTTGCGATTTTCAACTGTACCACGTTGTAAGGAGTGGGGAAGAACGCCGAGGCACAAGGGTGCTATTCTTGACATCGTTCGCAACTTTGTTTATACGTTTACAGTATGGTCACGACTTTCTCGGAGACGCCGGTGATATTTGAAGATGCGGTCAATAACCGGTGCCCAGATTGTGGCCGACGGTTGTTCGCTATTCGCTTTCTGTTTCGCACCAAAAGCGACCGTGAACTGCTACTTTCGTAGATTGGCATCGGAATCGATCGCAGTAAAAAGAGATGGCTTTATCATAAATAGAGCTGAGCAAAACTGCGATTCGTCAATCGAAATTAAAACTGCGATTGGGATTTTTAAATCGCAGCGAATGTAACCTGCGATTGCGATTTTAATATTTAAATATTGTAATCTATACTAATATCACAGATAACATTATGTGTTATCTGTGCTAATATACAGGGTGGCCCATCGAAAACGTTCCGCAAGGCATAACGGCCAGTGTATTTTTTTTTTCAGAAAATTCAAAAACACATCAATTTTGTTTGTGAGGGGGACAATTTTTGCCCCAAAAATGATTGCAAAATCTTCAATCTCGTTTTTTCTTATTATTTCTAGATGTTTACGCATTTTTTCACTTGCCACAAGGATGAACGATCGGGTTAGGTAGAGTGTACTTTCTTTTTGAAAGGTGTAGTTAATCGGCACAACTGTCGGTACTGGGCTGAGGACAACCCCAGGGTTTTTCACGAGGTGCACACACAAAACCGTAAGAAATTGAACGTGTGGGCTGGTATTTTTAGAAATTCTACTGTGAGTCCTTTTTTTCTTCCTGGAAATCTAACAGGTGATATGTACTTGGATTTACTGGAAAATACCATCAACCCAGCCCTAACTGACATCATAGAGAACAATCCTGGATACGTCGAAGCGGAACTAATATTTCAACAAGACGGTTACATTACGACACATTACTCTCAAAATTTGCGTAATTATTTAAACAATAACTTTCCCGTTCGGTGGGTAGGACGAAGGGGTGCAATTGAGTGGCCTCCCCGGTCACCCGACATGACTCCTTTAAACTATTTTCTATGGGGACACATAAAAAGTAAAGTGTATAGCACTCCACCCGCCTAATTAGAAGACCTGCGAAGACGAATTATTGATGTTTGTTGCGAAGTGACCCCGCAAGTTCTTCAGAATGTTCTAGAACGGGTTGAAAATAATTTGTATTACTGTATGGAGGTTGACGGGCAACATTGTCAGCATTTTCTTCATTAATAAGATAAGTTTTTTTTAATTAATTCAATTTATGCGTTTTTTGCAAAAAAAGTACTTTTCAAATTTCCGTCTTTCATATTTTCAAAATGACTCGACCGATTTTTAAAAACGAAGCGATGAAATATAGAGAATAGAAAGCCCTTTTCATTGCGACGCCACTTGACACCCCTTCCCTTTTGAAAAAAGTTGGGGGATGACACCCCCGCTTAGAGGGTTGAAGATTTTGCAATCATTTTTGGGGCAAAGTTGTCCCCCTCACAAACAAAATTGACGTGTTTTTGGATTTTTCGAAAAAAAAAATACCCTGGCTGTTATGCCTTGCGGAACGTTTTCGAAGGGCCACCCTGTATAAAATCCTTAAGTGACTGACTCACTGATTAATCACGATCCTGGTCAAACCACTCAACGTAAGAAGCTCAATTTTGGCATACAGGTTGATTCTAGGGTGTAGAGGTTCGATAAGAAGGGATTTTTCGAAACTCGAATTCTAAGGGGGTGAAACCACCCCTCAAATATTAGAATATTTTTTATTTAAAAACCGTTGAGTTTTTCGGAAAAACTCTTAAACATGTATATTTTATTTTGTTGTTTTACATATTTTAAAATTTTTTTAAAAATTTATACAGGGTGTTTCATAAAATATGACCACTGAATAATCACGATTCTGCTTAAACTGCTTGACGTTTAAAGCTGATTTTTGGCAAACAGATTGACTGTGAGGTGTCAGCTTTCTTAAAATTCTCGATAAAATGTGAAGATATCTCTTTGCCACTTGTACCAATTCCTCAAATTGTAACAATATTCAATATAAAATAATATAAATTCTCAATATTTTTAAAACCCAACAAATTACTAAATGTTTAGGCTTCGATTTGAGCAAAAAAATATATTTTAAAGGTGTTTATTTCAACGGTAGACCTTACGGTAGTCTACTTCGTGACGACAATCTATATTTTACGCTGGAATGTAAGGAAATAGAATAAAAATATTTAATGAAATTGAACTTCTACCTGTTTTAATAAAGTATAAATAACATCTAAAAGGTTAGCTTTATTTTTATTTAAATTTTATCAAGTTTATAACAAGTTTGTATGTAAGGCTATACAAAGAATAAGGAAAGATACATCGAAAGATTGACGGAAAATACAATTTACCTGTGAATTGGTCAATCTCTCTATTGATTGGCAAAACGAAAATGTCCGTCTGGACTTTCTCCATCTAAACAAGACAATTTCACTCGAGTAAGAGATGCTTGCATTTCTTGCTGTAACAAGATTGCCTGACGTTCGGGCAACAGCCGTAGCTCTGAAACTAAGTATCTGCCGAATTGCTCATAAGCCCGTTCTCCGTACGGATTGCTAGCGAATTTAACGATCCTAGTCGTTCTATCTGAGTGATCAGGCTCTTCAGGGAGAGTGCAAGGAGATTGTAGTCTCTTAGATCGTTTTGTAGGTCTTGTGGTGCTCCTCGGTGGACTGGGAGGTTCCGCTTTGATTTCTATCGACGCGTTTTCTTCATCGTAATCGTCACAAAGTAGCTCGTCCTCTTCGATACGCCATCTACTAGGATTCACTGGACCAAATAATGCCAGTAGTTCCATCACACACATTTTACAATACATAATAAATAATAATTAATTAATAATAATAATAATCAATTCACACTATAAGATAAGTATTTATTAATAAAACTAAAATAAATAATCTACTTTGAAAAAAGCTTCTTTCAAAGTAGTTTTATTTAGTAGGTACGATATATATATATATATATATATATATATATATATAACTATATATATATATATATATATATATATATATATATATTCAAAAAATGAAGAGTAAAAGTTACTTCAATTTTCATAAAAATAGAAGTATTTACAAAAATTATTGTAATACAAAACTGGGCACATCTTGTAATACTACTGAAACAAATTAATTTTAAATAATTTTTTTTTTCACACAAATTTTTTATTACAAGCTACTTAACATAACCTAACAAAACCAAATTAGTAAACTAAACTTTGCTAAGTGCAAACCTATAAAATATGTACCAGGATGTATTTCAAAGAAAATAGTTTACTTCCATAGGGTGGCTCAAAAAAGTAAGTGGATCTGGATGATTCTTTAAATGGAACACCCACATATTGTTACATGTCTGACAGATGCAGATGCATGCCTTTCAGATCACTTTAGATAATACTAAGATATGATAAATATATTTCAATTAGTTTCAGAGATATTAAAAAATACATCAAAAATATATATTTTTGTTTTGCAGATACACGCAGTATTATTGCATATGGCGCTTTCAATGAAAAATACGAGAGAAAAATCGTTGTGGTTGGCTTTGATAAAAATGTACGGAAAATGCCATGAAATATAAAACTGGGAATATCTGCGAAACGTTAAAGGAAGAAATACTCTAATACAAAAAAAATTGTCTTTTTAATTCTCCCTCTAATGAATACACAGAAATATGCGTTGTTTAAAAACGGAGAAAAATTATTTTATATTTTAGAAAGGTTTGGCGTAAATTTTGAACATCCTGTATGATTTACAATTACCATATTTATAAAAAAATGAGTACAAACCATCTAAAGTAAATACCTAATATAGTTTTTGATTTCAGAACAGTTTTAATATTAGTAATAGCTTTTCAACAAAAATATATAATTTTTTATATATTTACTAGCTATATCTGAAATTGTCTAAATGTATTTACTCATGTCTTAAAATTATGTAAAGTGATCTGAAAGGAAGCCAAAAAAGCAATATACAGGGTGTTCCATTAAAAAAGATTTTTTTTTTGTATATTATTGCATTTTGCTATAGAAGTTAAAATATATTCTGAAATACATCCTAGTACATACTTAAGGTTTGCACTTAAACAAAATTCCCATGCTTTTTATTCTAGGAGCTACAGAGGCCCGACGCACTATTGCCGGATCCTGTATAAGCGATATAAAATGTATTTTGCTACTTTGGAAATATACTTAATGTTTTTCTTTCATTAAATTAATTCATACTTATTAATTACTTTATAAGATAAACTATCTAGATTCAAATTAATGTAAATCTGACTAAATTTCCGTAAATCAAGTCAACTGTTGCATATGCATAGGATTTCTAGAAACAAATTTCCTAGTTTATACGACTACAAAGTTCATAATTAACCCGAACATAAAGCCAGTTAGTGTCATAACGCTGATGGAAATATCTTAAAATTAGGTAGTTAGCAAAACTCTCTAAAAGCTTGTTTCACAGAAGGCAATGCGGGACAATAGTGAGAAATGGCCTTGCATTTTAAATATATGAAAATGAAGAAGTGAGATTAAACTTGGGGAATATTCCGAGTTTTGTATATACATGTTCTTACTAATGCCAGTAGTGCTATAATTAAGTAAATTAAAATTAGTCAGATTTAATTTACTCTTGAATTTAATTACTCAGATTTAAAAAACATATTCTTTATATCCAGAAAATTTAATTTTCAGATGCTTATTTGACGTTTTTCCTTAACAATTAATTTAAAAACACCTTTTAGTTATATACAGTTTTTCTTCGGATAGTCTTTACAAGAGGGATGTTTTTATTACACTCTTATGCAAAAAAACGCATCGGGGAATTTTTTCGTTAAGTTTAAAGTATTTTAGCCATATTTTTACAATTTTGTAGCGTTTTTTAAACCACTACCAGTGCGAACGGCAGCTTTTCATCGGAGAGCAGTCGTGGATAAGGTATTTCACTAGAGAGAAAATTAATCAGTAATATTAACAAAAGATATATAGATATTGGGCGCCAGGCATGTACAGAGAAAGAAAACACAGTTGTATATTACTTAAAACTAATGACTATATTTATTCATGATGAATTCTGATGGTAATATAGCATTGTACATTTTAATTTTTTTTTTTGCAACAAGGGTTTAAAGCTGCCTTATCGGTCCATGGGGACAAGATAAGGTGCTATTGTTAATCACCTAGAAAGGAACGAACAATGTTAGCAGCATCAAGCAGCACAGATTTCTGCATTAGGCGGTAAGTATTTTCAGGTATTCCAATTACTTTTAATTGTTCTTTCAGGTTGACCGGGATAATTTCAATGGCTGAGACAATCAAGGGGACTACCGATTCCATTTGCCATATATTTTTTATTTCTATTCTCAAATCTTGATACTTTGTTATTTTTTCTGTAAACTTGCTTTGTATATTGTTGTTGTTAGGAATAGAAATATGAATTAGTAAAACTGTTTTTTTAATTTTATTTATAAGCGTGATGTCCGGTCTATTCTAACGGTTTTTTTTGTTAAGATTGTTTTATCCCAGTATATTTTAAACTAATATTACCGACTACTGGTGGTGGATGATATTTGTAGTAGGGCTCTTAGATTTCTCGGTCAATGTTGAATTGTTTGAGGATCTCCAAGTAGATGATTGATGCGACTCTGTTGTGTCTTTCCAGATACTTTGTACTCGCAAGATTACTGCACCCTGATAAAATGTGTTCTATGTTTTCACTTACAGAATCACATCTACGGCATTTGTCTGATATATTCTCCTTTAGGATGAGTTTCCGGTAGTTGCGTGTTGGAATAACTTGGTCTTGCATAGCCACTATGAATCCCTCCGTTTCTGGGTAGAGATAACCCGATGTTAACCAGTGCAATGATGCCGCCTTTTTAATGTGATGTTGATCTAGCTCATTTGGGTACCGTCCGTGTAACTCCTTAGCTCCCCAAGTAGCTATTTTATTAGTGATTGATGTAGGAGTTGGAAAAGCATCATATTGTTTACTACTGAGGTTCAAGGGGTGTATTTGACATCAGCTGAAGACACCGTGACGTAAAGGTTGCTGTTCTTGGTATAAAAGTATTCTCTGAGGCTCTTTATTTGCTCCCGACAGACATTAACAACATCCAGTAAACCTCTACCTCCAAGATTTCGAGGGAGGGTTACCCGTTCCGTAGCGCTTCTTGGGTGGTGATTTCTAAATTTGGTTAATGTTGTTCGTACCAGGCGATTTAGGGATTCCAAGTCTGTATGGGTCCATTTGACTATTCCAAAAGAATATGTAAGAACCGGTAGGGCTTAAGTGTTTATTGCTTTAAAGAGGTTCTTAGAATTCAAACCTGTCTTTAGAAGGGAGGTAAGTCGCAGTCGGAAGGCGGTCGATAGGCGGTTTTTAATAATTCCATGTTCTATTTTGTGTTTGTAGCATTCCAAGATATTTATACGGCTGTCGACATTGAGGAGATAATTGTTTTCTCATCTAGATTCAATTCTGGTGTTTCGCATAGTTTTCCTCTTATGATTGAAACAGTCTGACATTTGCTCGTACCAAAGGTCATTTCAATATCTGCGCTGATTTTATGAACGGTACGCAAAAGATTTTCAAGTTGGTTTTTTGTTGCAGCATATATCTTCAAGTCATCCATGTATAGTAGGTGTGTAATGAGATGACGTCTGTTTCTCGTTCGTAGTGAGAATCCATAACCTGTTTCATTGATTATCCGCGATAGTGGATTTAAGGCTAGACAAAACCAAAGGGCGCTAAAAGAATCCCTTTGGAATATCCCTCTACGAATTGGAATTTTTGGCGATGTTATGTCAAAGGAAGCAGACCTGAGGTTGAGGGAGGTCGTCCATCAAGACATGGTCTCTTTAAAGAATCGGCAGATTTTGGGATCAACATTGTAGATTTCTAGAACTTGCAACAGCCAGCTGTTTGGTATGGAGTCGAACGCTTTCTGATAGTCAATATAGCCCATGAAGAGATTTCTTTTGATATGTCTGGCTTGCTCCAAAACCACCGAGTCTATTACAAGCTGTTCCTTAGAGCCCATTGCCCTGCTTTTGCAACCTTTTTGCTCTTCGTGTAGGATGTTATTGGTGACCAGGTAGGTATATATTTTACTGCTAATGCAGCTTGAAAATATCTTATAAATTGATGGGAGGCAGGTGATGGGTCGATATTGGGAAGGGTTATCTGGGTTTTCCGTTTTTGGTAGAAGGTGAGTAATTCCCTCCGTTAGAAAGACGGGCATTTTATTGGGGTCAATCAAAGTTTCAGTAAATTCTCTCGCTAGGTGGTTGTAAGTAGCGGAAAATTTCTTGAGCCAAAAGTTGTGAATTCCGTCACGCCCTGGACTTCTCCAATTAGGTAATTTCTTGATTGCACTTTCAACGTTGCGCAGGGTAATTATTGTGTCTTCCATTCTTACGTTCTGATGTTTTTCACGCTCCTGGTTTATCCATGTGGCATTTATTTGATGCTCTCCTTGTGACGACCAGATGTTGTTCAAGTATTGATTTAGTTGGTTTGAGTCTATGGCATTTGGGTGTTGGGGGTTTTCTTTATTTGCCTTATTTCCAAGGTTGCGGTAGAAACACCTCTCGTTTTGGGTGAATTGGGCGTTGTGCATCCGTCGTAGGTGGCTTCGTTTGTACCGTTTGAGTTTGTCTGTATGTACTGCTAGCTGTTGTTTTAATGAGTCTAGAGTATCGATAACAAAGTCTTTCTGGGTTTGGCCGCTTAGTTGACGGAATCTAGTCGTTATGTCTTCTGATATCTTCTTTAAAAGGGTTTCACTATCGTTTCCTTTAGAAAGTTGTTGCATGCGACCTATGTCTCTACGTAATCTGCTGATTTTGTCAGACATTCCTTTTTCCCAGGGTGGTATAGGTTTCTTGTTTTCCTTAGGACGTTGGGCTACATCTTGACTTATTTTGTGTAAGACAAAGTTAGGGCCACTGAGTATATATGTATGTAATTTCTTCTAAATTGAAACTGGTTTTCAGTTTATCACATAGGATAGCGTTAACTCTCTCGATGATTGTTGTTGTTTGTGCTGTGTATTTTATTTTCAGAAGTGATGGTCTGAGGTTGGGATTGGAGCCATAAACTTAATTAGGTTTTGATTCGTATAGATAATCCAATTGGGTTTGTTCGGTAGGTAGTGTAATCTCTGTCGGTAGTGCAGTCTCTGTCTCAGCTTCACGTATGCTTTCGCTCTGCGGTGGTTGTGGCGGTATGTCAATAGTTGTTTCTGGGTTGATTTCTAGTCTTATTTGTTCCTTGATTCTGGCCAGTGTCTCTTGAGAAAGAAGATTCCTACTTACTATGGTCCTGCGTTGATCTGCGATGCGTTGCTCACTTAAGTGTTTAAGGTTTGGGAAAACCTTTATAAATTGTGCATACAATTTGCCACGGTACATTGTAAAGTCCGTCTCCAGGTTAGTAACTTTATAGTACAGTCGCATGATTTCACTGTTTTCGGCGTTGGTCCATTTCTTGCGACGTACCGTTGGGTTCGTACCATCTTCGGTGGGAACAGGTGTGTCCGGTTCAGCACTTGAAGATGGAGGATGTCCTATTTCTTGCGTTTGGGTGAGTGTAGATCTCGGGGCAGCATCACCCGCCATGCTGACACCCTCGACAGGCTGCGGATTTGGACGATTCCGAAGGGGACCAGCCCGCTGTCCCCCCTCGCCCTGAGAGTATCGTTTATTTCTTGTATTCACCATGTTTACCATTGGTTTGGTTATTTTATTATACTTTCATAAGGTTAAGGGAAGGTTATTAGGATAGGTAAGTGGAATTTTGGGAGAGCGTGGAAAGATAGGAGGTTAGGATAGGTCAGCGGACAGCTGGCGATACTGGCAGTACCGTTTCCACGCCCGATAGCAGTAGGTATGCCTTGGCTGCATTTTACTGCCGGCCGAGACTATCGAATTTTTAATAATAATTATTATAGTGGTTATTTTTTGAGTAAAACTATGATGCAATAATATTAAATATGTTCTATGAAAAGACTATGAAAAATACAATGCGTGTAACGTTATAGAAAATATAGAAAAGTAAGCATTACTATTTAATTGTTAAGTACATGCGGTGTTAAAATCTGATATGTTGCAACCTGTGGATTCTAGAATCTATGTCTCGTTATTCATCTGTTAATATGGCGCAATAATAATATCTAAGTAAAATACTATTACAGAAATACAATGAAACCTAAAATCAATCGCTGTAACTTCTTTGGATAAATAAATATAACCATAATATAGTCTGTACATTTAAGATGTACTTTACTGTTTAAGACTGAAATATAGAAAATCTAAAACATAAAAACTAGAACGTAAATCTGCACTTAGCTGTTCTTGAGGCTATCCTGTTTCAGAGAGTAGCAGCATGAGGTGGTCTCGCATTTCTGTACTGTCTGTCAGCGATCCTGTTGGCCAAAACAACTAAAGGGGCCAGATTGAGGACACCATGAATCCTTACAGCCGTAGCTACTGACTAGGCTGAGAAATGGGAGTGAAGCAGCATGGGACTCAAGCTACATCCACGCTGGCACTTATATGTAAGAAAATATCGTTCTTACTGGGGACACTCGTCCACAGGACATCTGTACATAAGATAATGTCTGTACATAAGGCACTACCCGTACCTTGGATACAGTCCGTACCTTGGACACAGTCCGTACCTTGGACACATTCCGTACCTTGGACCCCCGAAATACTTCCGAGTGCTCAATAAATAATAAACAACGTGTCCTTTCTTCCATGTGACATTCTGGAGGACAAAAGAAAAGGGACGCCAACGTGCCAGCAAAACACATACAATTTGGGACATCCGTAACTCTAGCTAAAATATTCAATAATATCGAATCTATAAAGGTAATAACTCATCTTTACCTATAGCCTCGAAATAGCAGCTGATTCAAATTATACAGCAAGACTTAAATAATCACCATTTCCAAAAGCTGGGATACAACAGTGCGTCAAAACAAAGTGAGGTTAAGCACGGAGATTTGACAGAAGCGATGTTGGCAGCGCCCTTCAGGGCAATAACAGGGTTGTGTCGAACGATAACAGGGTTGGCGACTAGGGAACGTAAAAATTACGCGTCAAATAAACTATCCGGCCTGAACGAGATGGAATCCGGTGATGATAGGCCCCCAGACATCATATATTATATATAAAAAAGACATGTAACGAACTAAAAACGTTACAATTTTTTTTAGCAAACTGTTATAAATCTATCAACTCTAATAAACTCATTTTTTTTTATAAACTTTAATATTTGACTTATTACAGTTAATTGAAGGGGATTTGCTCCAACTTTGCAGCACCCTCACACAAATCTATCTATCAACCTATAGCTCAGCATCTAACTAAGAGCTGGCGCCAGGAGGCACGTATAGCCGCCCATACTAAAAAATGTTAATACTTACTTTTACATTTTCGTATCCGGATTATGTTATAGTTTATTAACCCAGTAAAATTGGCTACGTCCAATGCTTCCCGTTTAGCCAGCCATCGGTCATCGAGGGTACATCTGTTGGGGCACGCAGGACATTGAAGAAGATGTTCCATATCCTGAAAGGCGCCGCAGATGCATTTGTCGTCATTTCTGTCCAGCAAACCCCATTTGATCAGGTTGGATTTTACTGGGGTCACCCCAGTTCTGATTCGGGTGAGCATTCTCCAAGTTTTCCAGTCGTTAGAAACACCATTTGGTGGGGCCTCTCTAAGTGGGTAGTTGGAGGGAGATTCATCCAAGGGGGGCTTAGGAAACACAACGTCTGGATTTAGAATCTACCTGTGCCTCTTGGTCAAAAAAATTGAGTGACGAGGAAGCATCAAGGAGTTTTGTTTTAACTTCTCGGTATGTTCATGAGCTTTTTCTGCATCAGGGCTTGTAAAACCTGCGGCTTTGTAAAGGTTTTCTAAGGGGTGGGTTTCATACAACCTGTCACTATTCTGTATGTTTCGTTCAGGCTAGTATTTACCTTTTTTGCATGGGCAGATCTACACCACACTGGGCAGGCATATTCTGCAGTTGAAAAACACAGGGCTTGAGCAGAAGTTCTGACCACGGTAAGTTTGGCTCCCCATTTACTATGAGGACAACTTCCTTATAAAGGGAATTTAAAATTGACTACTTTTTAGTTTTTTCATATTTTTAAGTCAATGTTCTGTCCAGCACGACGCCAAGATAGGTAGACTTATCTGTGTGTTCTAGTAGTGTCAGTCCATGTAACATTAAGTCTGCGGGTCGCCTGTCTCAAATTAAGGTGGAATGCACTCACTTTAGTTTTGGTGGGGTTTGGTTTTAAAGAATTCTTTTTTATATTGGTTGACATTATTTTTTAGGAAAAAGCTTTCTAGTTTCTCCTCGATATCTTCGAACCCTTTGCCTTCAACTGTTATTGCTAGGTCATCTGCAGGTTCATTTGGCATATATGTTGAAAAAGTGGTGCCAGCATGCCATGCCCGACATTCTTCTGGTTTCGCCATCGACTCTTTTTGCCCTCGAGCGTCACGAAAAACTGCTTGTTTTGGAGCAAGGATTCGAGTATCTTGACTAGGTGGTAATCTTTCAAGGTCTCATTGGCTTCAAGGTCTCATTGGCCTCAAAATGTTAATAAACAGTTGGTAGGCAGTTCTTTTAGTTTCAAAGTAAAGACATTTTTCCAATTTTTTTTATCTCAAAAACTGCGATTTTGACTGATTTTGATGTTATTACAAATTTTGTTGCAAATATTATTCCTAATCTTAAATTGAAAACCGCGTTTCGCTAGCTACTGTAATTTTGGAGCTAGGGTTTTTTAAAATTTTCGCTTTGGTGACAATTGTCGTAATTCTATATTAAAATTTAAGAAAGTTAAAAAGTAACGATACAAGCTTGGTTTTAATAAATATTAGTATAACACACACTAACAGAACTAAGAATATCAAAAAAAAAATAAAAACTAACTGTAATAACTAAGTGTAGGTACAAACAAACAAAAAACTTGTACAAAATACTCTAATACTTTGTATTGCCTCCCCTGACTGCTATAACTATCTGTAGATGTCGGTTCACACAATTTTAATACTCCAAATATATTGTGTTATAAAAAATATCTATACCTATGTGGCGGATTCATCTCTCCAAAAAAAATCATAGTATAAAATCTAATCACAGTATAAGTGTAAAAAAAGGTGTTTTTTTAAAAAGTTTATATAATAGGGCACAAATAATATGCACAGACGACATTTCACTCAACAGAGATATAAACCACATAAAAAATACATTAATAAAAAACGACTATCCACCATATTTTATTGACAAAACATTAAACGGAATACAAACTCCAAATCATAGACACAATGATAACAATACACAATACATACAACTTACAATTCCATACATACGTGGCGTTCCGGAAAAAATAAGAACGATAGGAAAACAATATAACATACGAATATCCTTCAAAACACAAAATACACTTAGATCCATTTTATCACATGCTAAACCAATGAATACAGAACAATAAACAAAAAATGTAATATACCAAATACCATGTGAATGCGATAAATTTTACATTGGTGAAACATCTAGACCCTTAAATGTTAGAATTAAAGAACATAAAGATTATTTAAGAAAGGAAGATTTTTACAAATCTAAGATTTGTCAGCATTCATGGGACACAGGATACAGAATAAATTTTAATAACGCCAAAATTATAATGAAAGAATCGATAGCCTTTAAAAGAAAAATAAAAGAGGCTTTTTTAATTCAATCTAATAAAAATAAATGTATTGCTCATGCATCTGTAGATGTTAGTAACGTATGGCACTCGCTTCTTTGATTTTAAAGAACATAATATAAATA